AATGTATGAACAGTGTTTTACCTTAGACCTGCACACAGATGAGTAATATCATAGGAAACAATGTATGAACAGTGTTTTACCTTAGACCTGGACACAGATGAGTAATATCAGAGGAAACAATGTGTGACAGTGTTTTACCTTAGACCTGCACACAGATGAGTAATATCAGAGGAAACAATGTATGAACAGTGTTTTACCTTAGACCTGCACACCGATGAGTAATATCAGAGGAAACAATGTATGAACAGTGTTTTACCTTAGACCTGCAGTGTGCAGATGATGGTTGGTAGTAAATGGTAACTGGAAGTTTAAATCACAGGTAATTTCTTCAGACCATGGACAATCAAAATCAAGCTGTAGGAGAAATCACATTTAAAGTAATATACATTGTATTAACAAATCCCTAAGCACACTATGTCACCCCCATGATGCATCTCACATAGATGAACAGTCGAAGGATTAGGTCCCTGCTGAGAAGAGATAAAGGAAAGTTCACATCAAAGAGAAACTGATGTTAAGGTAAAAGCCTACTTATAAATTAAACAACCCAGAATTTTATTCATTTTGCAACAAACTGTACTCCAAGGCAATATAGGGATATTGACTTAAACAAAGTTGGGGGTCACCAGCCTTATTTTCGAAGATATTGATGGTTTTATTTTAGTAGGAAAGTCGCCATTTTGGCACAATCATAATGTTTTTACCATAGGTTCCTATGGCAGAGATAGTATGCAATATCTCAAAATCTAGGCTGAAAAAATTTGAAGCGATTTTCAAGAAATATTAGGACATGTTTCTCAAGAAACTTAACTGTAACACACAAAATAATGCTATTTCATTGTACCATGGGACATTAGCTTCATGATTGTACATCAGAAACTAATGAGCATTGTCATGCGATTTATGACCAATTTTGTCAAAAATTGTGAGTAGGCTTCTACCTTAATAATCTGTTCAATGTTGTGCACATAGTAAAATAGATGCATGATGGGATCACCACAATTACCATGGCTACATCAATGAAGTATAGATAACTTGAGATCTATCATTTCAATTCTGAGTTTACAAATTATTGAATACAAGTAATTCTTTAGTGAGACAAATTTTCATGAATCTTGTGAGTAAGTAAAAATTGTGAAATTTTGTGTAAATTTCTATGCTATGCTATGTGTCAGTGACATAGGATTTTGTCTTAATGAATTCTATAACATCCATAAATGGCACAAATTTCTGTTTACAGTACATAAACTGCACTTACCTGACTGTTTATCAGTTGTTCCACATTTTCTTTACTGTCTGGCATTGCAGCCATTAGCTGAATCTCAACATCCATTTGACTGTTAGCAGGTATATCAGGTAGATATAATACACCGCCATACTCAGTGGGATTTATATGGTACAAATCAGTGCTACTCTTCATGATACAAGTACTTTGTGGAGTCTTGATTTTCATCACATCACCTGATTTGACTGGAACATTGTCAGTACATAGTTGTAAACACAACCACTGTGGTACACCTGCATATAGCGGTTCTGTAATATATCAGATATGTAAATTAGTATAACACTTATGCAAATTAGTACACGAATAATATAAAAGGAAGTGTGACTACTCAAAATTAGGTTATTCCCTGTCTTTGTGTGAAGATAACAAATTGTCATTTATTTATCATAAGTGATTGACAAGATTTTATTGACTAGAGACTTTTGTCCTTCTGCCCTCAAATTTGATTAGCAGATTTTGATATCTAATAATTATAAACATGGCATAGTATTAGTGTTATGATTGTATGATGATTGTCAATTGCCAACAAAGAAGCAGTGAAATACGCCGTTTTTCTGGTACAGGGTGTTGATAGCACGCGGATGTAATGTTCACAATTAAGTTGGTACTTTGTAATTCACCAACTTCAGGGTACTTTATCTTTCCATAAGTGATTAATATTTTGAAGCATTGCTTACCTTGGGAGGGACATAAACTGATGGCTGGTTCTTTTGTTGTGACATAGTATGACATCATTGGTTGAATCTTTGGATGTAACAATTTCCAGACCGTTGATTTCTAGACATAACTGATTTAGAATAAACTTCCCTTGATCTTTGACCTGCAAAAAACAAAACCAATGTTAAATCAA